ACTTGGTCTTCGCCTTCGCCCTTCATTAGGCATTATCGCCTGGATAAATTTGCGTCGGCCGAGGCCGCATTTGGTAGACGTATATTGCAACAAGTAGTCACACCATCAGGGGGTCCGGCCCCAACTAACACCCACCCGTAGGGACTTCGGAAGCTTTGGTACGTCCCATTGGTGGATTCTTCAGTCATCCTGATGGAGAAGGAACGTTGGCTTACCTGAACGTCCTTTCTCATCAGGATGATGAAGAATCCACGCCCTCCCATTTAGTGGTTAGTTAGGGCTGAGTTGGGCCTGTGCTTCTTGTGTGTTTTTTTTTCTGGATACCTGTTTGAGAGCCTTCACGTCACACTGTTGTCATTGGCTACGCCGTCGATGAAACTGGGAAGTCCCAGACAAAGAGGGGGCGTGACAACTTGACAACTTAGTCTGATTGGGCAGGAGGACTGAAATAACACATTGGTGGATTCTTCATCATCCTGATGAGAAAGGACGTTCAGGTAAGCCAACGTTCCTTTCAAACTGTGGTACGCATACCACCTGTGGTACTTTGCCATGTGGCAGATGGTACGTGTTCGTCCCACAGAAGTGTAGCGGGGGAGGGGAATGAGCCGAAGCAACCCAAGCCTGAGGGAGAGGCAGCTGCAGCTGCAGGGCTGTCTGGGCTCAGCAGAAGCCCCAGGAGACGGCAGGACTCCAGCTGATTGGCTCCAGCTGATAGGCACCTCCGGAAGCAGCCCCGGTGCTGGAGGTGAACTGAAGAAAAGGGGGAGGAGAGGAGAGGTTATAAAAGGAGGTGGTTTGGGCGAGAAAGGGGGGGGAAAGACAACAGGGAAAGAGAAAGAGGCAGGGTGGAAAAAGAGACAAGGAAGAAGCAGCAACTGTTGCTGGAAGAAAAGGTCCCCTGGTTCGTTTTCTCCAGCCAGGAGAATGCAATCAGCACTGATGAAATAAAAAGCCGGCAGACGAGCATGTCGGAAAGAAGGTGGGTTTATTTAATTCTGGATCAGCTGGCAGCTTGATTGGGTTATCATAAGGATTTTTGTACAGTTTTTACAGCGTTTTATAATTCAGAGGCTCGGTTTGTGTTCTTTGGTTATTGGAATATTTTAGTCTGTATTTTAGGCTAGCAATGAGTCCAAAGTGTTGACTTCCGTAGGTTTAATCCCTTTAAACAAATGTAATTAGTTTTACCCCCTTTAATTGAGTCTGCCTATGGCTTTTAGAAAGTTTTCTTTGAAGGTAAACAGGCTTAATTTAAAGCTAAAGCTTTTTGCAATTGCCGGAGCCTTTCAGTCTCGGATTTCAACATTGTGACACGTGACATGCCTGAGGCAGCTTAAAGGGAAAAAATCCCCCCAGAGTTTATGTGTTTCTTTATTTTGTGAGTCTTTCTTGATTTGCACTTGATTCCTGTGTTTTTAAGGGTACAGGGAAGGGATTGGGGGGTGCATTCTTACTACACTGTGGAAAAAGCTCAGAAGGGAGAGAGGAAGAAGGGCCGACCAGCTAGCTCAAGGATCTAAAAACGTAGCAACTTTAAGACTTGTGGACTTCAACTCCCAGAATTCCTCAACCAGCCATGATGGCTGAGGAATTCTGGGAGTTGAAGTCCACAGTTCTTAAAAGTGCCAAGTCTGAAGACCCCTGAGCTAGCTAATAGTTGTGCATATTAATAAACATGGATAAATTCATCATATATTTGTCAGTGCAAAGAGAAAGTGATTCAGCAAACGAACAGCCCCCAAAGTACTTTTTTCCTTTTTTTCTACAGTTTGTAATATTTTATTAGATTATAGAATAAAATACAAAAATACAAAAGCAAATAGTAGGACACAGTGGGGAGGAAAAAGGGGGGAAAAGAGGGGGAGAAGGGAAAATAACAGACTTCCTCTGTTGCAGTAGAAGGAAGCATTAAGATTGAACCTCAATTTTTTTACTTTTTCATAATATAAACTAGCCATTTCTATAACAATAAATGAATCTAATCAGTAAAACCCAAAATTCCCCCCTTTTTTTAGTCATCAAGTTTTTGACACCTTGCTAAGCACTAGTGGTACTCAAATAATGTCATGTCCTAAAAGTGGTACAATCTGTGAAAAGGTTGAAAAGCCATGACCTAGGGGACAATTGAATGCAGTCTTCCATTCGTCTCCCTCCTTAATCCTGATGCAGTAATAGGCTTCTCGCAGGTCTAATTTAGAAAAAAAAATACCTTTTGCCAGATGCGTTAACATGTCTCTCATGAGGGGTAAGGGGTACACATTTTCCACCAAAACCGCGTTCAAACCTCTATAATCCACGCAGAGGCGAAGAGACCCATCCTTCTTTTCCCTGAATAGAACAGGGGCCGCCATCTGGATCCTGGCCAGCTGGATGAACCCTCTGGTTAGGTTCTTGTTGATGAACTTGCAGAGTTCATCTAATCCTCTAGGGGTCATCAAATACAGTTTTAGCTTAGGCAACTTAGCTCTAGGGACAATCTTAATAGCACAGTCCATGGGGAAGTGAGGGGAAAGCTCGTCCAACCTCTTTTCACTGAAAACCTCAGCTAGGTCTCGGTACTCCCTTAGAATGCTCTTAAGCTCTTGCTCACTCAGCGCAGATGCTAATTCCTGCTTCGGGCCCATCATCTTATTTCCAGGCAGCCCCCGGGGAGGTGCTCTATTTCTTGGGAACCTCAGCCACCCCTCTCTCCAGTCAATTAAGGGGTTCCATTTCTTTAACCAAGCTAGCCCAAGTACCAGGTGCCATTCCATGCTAGGAGCCAAGATAAAAGCTAAAGTCTCTGAGTGGCTTCCCATGGTTAGTTCCAGAGGCTCAATTACAAAACTGGCTGGGATGCCGCCTGCTATGGACCCATCAAGCTGGCAGAAGGTGATAGGGTCCTTAAGTTTTCTTAGGGGAGGGCCCAATTTTCCAACTAGTTTAGGACTTATTAAGCACTGTGTGCAACCCAAGTCCAATAAGGTGGTTAAGGCCATTTTCCTGCCCGTGCCCAGGATTGTCAGTTCTATGGGCATGGTTATGGGGTCTATCAGCCCACTTACCAGTGGATTGTCACCGTAATCATTCTCTGATGCCCCCAACTTGTCATCAATGGGGTCGGGGCTCTATCCCGCACCTTTGGGGCTTGGGGGAGCTCCAAGGACTTCTGGGCTGATGCAGCAGAGATGGTGGAAGCCATCCCAGCAGCACGGCAGTGATCCACCCCCCGGAGAGCCCTCTCAGACCTTGCTTTATGTAAGGAACTGTCTCAACTAGATCTCCCAAGAAAGCAGAATTCTTGAAACAGGTATTGTTTCAAAAGGAACGTTTTATTGAAAGTTAGTGATGGCAAGAGAGCAAAGTGAGGTCTGAGATTTGGCGTGTAAAGGATTACATCAAAAAGGCAATTCACAACTACTCCCCTCAGTGTCCAACCATCCGGTTGAAATCCATTCAATCCACAAGCGCCACCATGTTATGAGAAGCTGAAGTTTCAGCGGGCTTCTCAAGGTCTCTCTTGGTTTCGTTTCCCAACAGTCCTACGCTCAGTTGTCTGGAGATAAGGCAAGATGTTTTTAGGTCGCGTTCCTCTCACCTGGAGGGAGGCCTCTCACACAGAGCAGAGCAAAGCAGATAATAGTTCCCCAAGCAACCATTCCCCTCCCAACAGTATGGCAGGCCCTGAAATAGGCAAAGCAGGGAAGGATAGGGAAATGGATGAGGTAGATGTGTAAATAGAATGCAGAAGCAAGCAACTATAATTGTGGGATCCTGACTGAACTCATTCTTGAATTTTATCCAAATAATGTTCAAAAGAAGTAGAAACTCTGGGTGAACAAATGAATTCTGTCTTCAGCTTGAGGCCAATAATTACTACTATTATTTCACTCAGGAAGAATAAATCTTCTGTTTTATGCCTTTTTAAAAAATTATGCAGAAATTCAAAGGTTAAAAGGGGCTTCAACATGCATGAGAGTGCCAAAATCGTACTTCTCAGCAACTCTGTAAGCTAGATGTATCTTTAACCACAGTCCTGCAGAGTTGCAGATGAAGGGAAAACAACAGCTAGCATGGTGAAGTGGTTAGGGAGTGTTTCTCAACCATGGCATCTTGAAGATATGTGGACTTCCAAGTCCCACAATTCCCCAGCAAACCTTTAACTTTGTTGCTTCACTTTTGATTATACTGATGGATTTGAATATTTCACATACGCACTCTTGGTCCAATAGTCAGTTTCAGCAGATGTGCTAATCAATGAAGCCAGTATTTTCACATGGATTTAAATAAAGAGTTTCTGTTAAGGCTGTCCAGTTAATTACAGGCTTGTTCTATCACTGATATTCCCTCTGATCCACAGCTACACAGGACTCTTGACTATTTTCTATGTTGTATGTTTAAGTTTAATAGATCTAATTGATACTTCCTATGACCAGTGTCAAAGAATATGACTATCTTTTAAAAATCGTGCCAATAAATAGAGCTCCTGAGTAAAGGTAGATTTATTGTCTCTAAGTACAAAGCTAGAAAGAAACTAATACATATTTATATCCAGAGTAATATAGCAGAAAAGCTACAAGAGAACTTTCTCCTAAAGTTACATAGAGGGAACAATTATTGTAATTAAGACAAAGCATAAGGAAGTTGAAATCAATTGTGAAAGTGATTGTGGAAGCTTAATGACAGAACTAAGCCAGAAAGACAATCAAGGCTAAAAAAACTGGGTTTCCCTAAGCAATAGAAACTTTGTATCAAGATACTAGGTACAAACTTTGTGCTGTTTTTGTTCTGAATGATTTAAATGCTTAAAATTATTTTAAATGCTGATGTGTAAAAAATGCAACAGATAATGTAATAATTCAAAAGTCTGAACCCAGCAATTCATGCATACATTGTTGCTGTATCTTAACCTTCAAATGAATTTTGCATTATGGCCCTAAACTCAAATAAATTTTGCTTAAGAGAAACCAAACTGCAAAGTTAAAATATCCTTTTGATGCTCATGTACATCTCTCTAGGTAGCGGATCGTTTATTTTCATCTTTTGGACAAGATATTTTGGATGCTCTCTATTGGACTGCGACAGAACCAAAGGAAAGGAAAAGGGCACACATAGGGGTCATTCCCCATTTCTTCATGGCAGTGCTGTATGTCTGTATCCTTTTGTGTTATTTCAGGGTGTGTGTATGTACTTTCAAAAATCTATAAAATCTTGGATTTTGTATAAAGAAGGCAACAAATCCTGATAGGAAACAAAGGAGCTCTTATAAAACAGTAAATTGAAAAACCTTAGTTTGCAAGGAAAAAATGGAACATCAGCCTCTTTTCTCTGGACCGACTCTTTCCTAGGATTTCAACTTTTATGAGGCAATTTCTTCATTCCACTGTACAAACAAATCTAGGCATCACTGATTTTCCTTTCCTTGGTCATATGTGGTAATAAGCCAAGTCCAATTTCGTGAAAAACTCCCCTCGCCAAATGGGCCAACGTGTTCTTCATCAAGGGGAGGGGGTATATATTTTCCACACTGATCACATTTAACCCTTTAAAATCAATGCACAATCTCAGTGGTCCATCTTGTTTCTCCTTAAACAGAACAGGGCAGAGGTTTCGATGAAACCTCTGGCTAGATTCTTGTTGATGTACCCCTCAGTTCTTTTAATTCTCTGGGCATCATTGAATACATTTTTGGCTTAGGGAGTTTGGCCCCTGGTAGGATTTCAATCACACAGTCAGTCGCCCGGTGGGGGGAAAGGTTGTCACATTCCTTTTCATTGAAAGCTTCCGCTAAATCTTGGTATTCACTTGGTATACGTTGGAGCCCTGAAATGAATTCTATGGCCACTCTCAATAGTTCAAGAGACTGTCCTTGGTCTTCAATAGTGACAACTCCCCGTACGTCACTGGGTCTGGTAGGAGGGAGGGGTCCCGTCGCTAATCTTAATGTCCTCACTCCATCCTCCCACCAAATCAAGAGGTGCCATTTATCGAGCCAAGCTAATCTGAGAATGACCGCCTCAGTCATTTTTGGGACCACTGCAAAGTGGATGATTTCCCAGTGCTTCCCCATTTCTAAATGCATTGATTCGGTTAGGTGCGTAGCAGGAGCTGCCCTGATGAGAGACCCGTCTGCCTGTTCGAATGTCACGGCTAGCGTCACACAAATTCCTAACTTTAGCACTGTAGGGAGGTTGATTATGCACCAGGTGCAACCCGAGTCAATTAAGACATTTAAGTCGATTTGGGCTTCTGTTTTGAGTACTATGATTTTCGTGGAAATGGTAAAATGCTGGATGGGTTGACTCACCATTGGGTCGTCTTTCCCTTTGGCATCACTGTCATACGGTACTGGCATTGGGAGTCACTCTGGTGGAATTTCTGCTTTCCTCAGGGGCGGAGAAATAACCCTGACGGCTTGCTCTTGGCTGGCCCAATTAGACTTTTCCCACACAAATGAGGCTTTCTCAAATGGGCTTGGAGAAATGAGACTGGACACTCAGCTGCTCAGTACCCTAGTTGGCCACATCTGAAACACTTGATCAGGGCCTGCCTGGCGCTCAAAAGGAACTGATGGTTGTAGTAGCTTGGGGGCATCAGGCCACTTGTCGTCTCTCTTGGACCCACCTCAGTCTGAACTCAGAGGTGGTAGGCTTCAGGTGGCAGTCCAGTTCGATGTCCAAGGTTATAGCCATGCGATACCATTCACAGAGTTGATCAGGAACACCTCAGGTGCACGCCTGGAACAAATCTTGATCTAGCCCCACTCTGAAGTGGCAGATTAGTGAGCGCTCCTGCCACTGTCTCTGAGCCTGCCAGCCACCTTTCAAAACTCATGGACGTAATCTTTAGCTGGTCTTCCTCTCTGCTTCAGGTCGTGGATGTCTTCGGCTTTCAGGGCTTGGGACTCATCCTCAAACCTGGCTCTCAGCTCACCCATGAACAGATTGATGACCCACAATTAGATTAGAGGTCTGGAGGCTAAAACATATAAAGAACAGTTGCTGGAATTAGGTATGTCTAGTTTAATGAAGAGAATGATGGGGGGGACATGATAGCAGTGTTCCAATATCTCAGTGGCTGCCACAAAGAAGAGGGAGTCAAGCTATTCTCCAAAAGCGCCTGAAGGCAGGACAAGAAGCAACAGATGGAAACTAATCAAGGAGAGAAGCAACCTAGAACTAAGGAGAAACTTCCTGACAGTTAGAACAATTAACCAATGGAACCACCTGCCTCCAGAAGCAGTGAATGGTCCAACACTGGAAGTTTTTAAGAAGAGACTGGACAGCCATTTGTCTGAAATGGTATAGGGTTTCCTGCCTGAGCAGGGGGTTGGACTAGATGACCTCCAAGGTCCCTTCCAATTTTTATTATTATTATTATTATTATTATTATTATTATTATTATTATTATTATTATTATTATTATTATTATTATTATTAATTCTGCTGCCTGTTCATGTAGGGCAGGAGTGTCAAACTGCCGGCCCACGGGCCGGACACATCACATGGAAGCCGCGCCTACCCCATTACCGGCAATGGTAAAACCGGACCAATATGTTGTGTGATGTCACGTGACATTGCGAGTTTGACATGCCTGATGTAGGGTGATCACCCACTCAGAGATTCCTCCTCGAGGTTAGCTGCTACAGCATCAACCATCCCAGCCCCGTTGGGGTAAGCACGAATATAGTGGTTCAGGTGAGCCCACACTTGGTTCAGGAAGAAAGACAGCTTCTCGGGGTCTCCATCATATGTGGGTTTGATAGGAGGTGGATCTACAGGCCGTTGTCCCAAGTATGCTTGTATGCCCGGTCGCAGGTGTTGAAGTCGTGGGGGAGCCACATTGTAAAGCCCTCTTGGCTGGTCTCCTGGGCTTGCAGGGCACCAATCTCTTTTGGGACTACACCAATGCACAAGGCTTGACACCAAGTCTGGCCAGGGTAGTGGTGAAGCAACATGAGCCATCGCGACAGGGCTTGGGCTTCGCCGGGCAGGAGGAAGTGCTGGAGAGCTCCTGCGTTCTCATCCACAGGGGATCAGATGGCAAGCAGTCGATTCTACTTCTCCCACTTCGAGTTGGTCAAACCTCTCTCTCAGCCTCTCAACGGAGTGGCTATGGATGGCAGTCAGGTACTTCCACTCCTCCGAGTCATCCCAACCAGCCGCCCGCTTCACCTTTCTCAGCACAGGTGATCGAAGGCTGTGGGATGAAATCAGTGGGAACTCTGCCTTAGCAGCTTTAGGGGTGCTCTGTCGCTGAGAGGTGATCTCCAGCTGATCAAGTTTCCCCAGGGTCAAGGTTCCCTCCGGTTGCCCCGTCCCTCTGATAAGGTCCAAACGTTCGGCCATGTGCCACCAGCAGGAGCCCTACTCTCTGCCTGGACAGTAGCCTGCACTCTGGCGGCCAATGCCACACTGAGGCCAGAGAACAGCTCTCTTCTCCATCTCAGATTCTTCCCTGAGTCTTTGTCGTCCTCCTACAGGTGTTAGGTAGGCGACTGGGGCTTAGGACCCTGAGTATTAAAGATTCAGAAGTCTTGGTTTAATGTAATGGTTCTGATAGATGAGACCAATTAAAGCAGAACTCCGAAGCTTGAGTTTTCCTCTCTGAACATGTTTATTGGTTACAAAGTATTGGCACGGTCAAACGTGAAACCAAGACTAAAGTTCCCTCCAGAAAGTAACAGTATTACAAAGTTAAACTTCCCACCCCATAACCTATGCTATCAACTACGTTTCCCAATAGAATACTTTGGTGGGCTTTCTAACATTAGGCTCAACCCCCAGCCTAAGGAACAGAAATGACCTTGGTTCCCACGGGACAGAGAATTGTTTAGGCTAGCATAAAACTCCCCATTCCTCCCCCCAATCTTGTGGCAATTGAAAATGAGCAAGATGGCTTCAGCCAGGTTCATTGCAGAGTGGACAGTTCCAGTCTCTGTCATTTCTCTTTCCAGGCAAAAAGTATTTTGGCGCCTATGGAGCTCTTAGAAACATAGAGAATTGCTAATCACTCTGTTTCCAAGCGCCCCAAACACTTTTCGCCTGGACAGAGAAATGAGAGAGACTGGAAGCTTCATCTGCTTGCAAATGGGGCACTTGGAAAAGGAGCGAATCGCAAGCAGATAAAGCTTCCAGTCTTCCTCTTGGCGAAAAGTGCGCTGTGTATTCAGATTGCCTGCCTCCCCCCCACCTCTGCCTCCGTGCTCAGACTTAACTGTGCTGTGCCAAGGGATCAGTGGGCTGCAGCTGCTGCCAAACACCGTTGGCCCTAGTGCGCTTGCCGACTCTTGTGCTGGCCACACTCATCCCCGGGCTTATTTTTGGGGTAGGGCTTATATTAGGCCCACCCCAAAAAATCAGGGTAGGGCTTATTTTGGGGGTGGGTCTTATTTTCGGGAAAACATGGTAAAAGGGTTTCTCTGTGTAGGAAAACCTGCACAGGCAGGAAAAAACCTGGGGTAGATAGGCTTTTGCTTCTCAAAAGCAGAGGTCCCCAACCCCCAGTCCATGGACCAATACCGGGCCTCAGCATGCCAGCAACCGGTCCGCACAAACAAGAAAAGCCCCATACATGAAATACAGGCAGCACACAAAACCACGCACCCTCCCCTCTGCAGACAAACCTCTCCACGGAACTGATCCATGGTGCCTAAAAGGTTGGGGACCTCTGCTCTAAAGGACTTGGGGGGCTTCCAGCTTGGGGGGGTTCCAATCTCATTGTCTGAGACACATGCTGGCAGTGGCTAAAAGTGGGATTTATTTTTACATTCCAGCTTGTTCATTGGCTGTGGCTAAATCGGTAGGTTGCTAATCCTAATTCAGAATACTCCATTTAACTCGGTTTCAGAAGGCCTTTACAGATTCTTTAAATCTTTCCTTCTGTCCATCCATAAATAAATACTTTACAGATTATTCTTGGATGATAAATGATTTTTGTGTATATTAGAAACATTTCAGTAATGACTCAAGCATTTGGACTTTGCTTCTAATAGGCTGCCTTGCTATATTATAACATTTAGTACTCTTCCTCAATGCTGCCTTGATTAATGCCAAAAAAATAAAAGCTTTTCTTCATCCTTCTTACTTGCTTAATTTCCAAACTTCTCTGTGATATGTCATCAAGAAGCGCTCAATCTAATAATTAAATGACATGATCTAAAATATCAGTTTCTTCTGAAGAAGGCAAACCCAACTCCATTTCAGCCATGCACATTGTCAGAGCTGATAAAATGGATAATCCCAAACCAAGGTTTTGCAATATTAAAATAAAATTAAGCATGCATAATTCTTTGTCTTGTACTCTCATTCTTCCTTTGCATGAAGAAATTTGCAATCCTAACCCTAACTCTTTTGTGGGGGAGGGTACTTTTGGTATGCTGGCCTTGATGGTGCTATATTTTTGTTATTTAACTTTTTCTTATTGATAACATTTTCACTTGTTTTGTTATTTAAATTGTTTCATTAGTGTCTTTGCTTTGGTATCATACTTTATTTTGTTATAAGGCCACATGAGGAGTCCCATGGAAAAGCAGCCTCCATATTTAATTAAAGATATAAAAATAAATTTTAAGGCTGATATAAAGTACCCTCACATAACTTTCATACTATAGTAAAATTATCCATTGGGTCTATACAAATCCTTCAAGAAATGTGCATTGAAATAAACTGATCATTGAAACTGTTGCATTTTTTCCAGATTCATGCAGTTGCTTCATGAACTGCTCCTGGCTGTCTCCATTAGTGTACATATTTACAAACAGTTGCTTTGTTTTTTCCAGCAGACCAAAGTGGCAAAGTATGCCCAACAATTCAGTCACAGCCAGGAACAGGTAGGGAAGATGCTATATGAGTTTGGGGGAAAAAACATGGTGGCTTACAAAGGATTTGCACATCACTGTTGTCTTCTATAGTGCAGGGGTATTTGGAAATTAAAAAGGATATACACACATGTAAATGTCTACTTGAAACTTTTGACCATTGTGAAGTCTTGGGGCAGTACTATCTCATACATTATTGTATTGTTAGCTTTCATAAGTCTTGTCAATTCTTTGATTTCATTTGCTACCATCACAACAACTTTCTTACAAATATTTTTTCATGGAAAGGATAAATTAATATTTATGCCACAAACAATTGTTACTCCCTGTCTGAATTGGTCATGAATCAGCAGCAGCCTACAAAGCCATTTGTTGTTGTTATTTTCTGATCTGAGATGTGTTTGAATATTAGTAGTTTGGGTTGTTAGTTGGGCTGTTGGTTTGATCTCCGAGCTTGGCGATTTGGCTACAAAGGTTTAATCTCCATTTGGGGGGGATCCGAATGGAGATGAACTGTTTGCAGCCAAATTGCCAAGCTCAGAAATCAAACAAACAGCCCATTTTCTGATCTATTCTACCACACAAATTCTTCTATGTTCTAGCTATTTTTTAAAAATTTTGAATATTAGAAAATTTGGATGTGTAGAAGAGAAATACAAAACTTCATGATTGGGTAAACTAAGGGGAATGAAGCCAGTTTGGAAATATGTATAAATGTGAAGAATCTACAGCTAATCTAAAGAAATATATTGTGGAATTGATTACTGTTTAATGGCCAATATTCACTACCATGCATAACACCTTCTTTTGGTAACTTCACTTGAATCATGCATTGAAGAAAGGAAGTTTCATTGCATGCTTGAATCAATAGTTAAGGCAGGGATGTCAAACTGCGGGTCCGCAGGCCGGATGCGTCATGCTGAAACCGCGTCCACCCATTGCCGACAATGGAAAAAAAGTCACGATACGTCGCGACACATCATGTGATGTTGCGAGTTTGACACCCCTGAGTTAAGGGAATCTTTGAGTGTATTGTTTAGTATGACTTGATGAAATGTCAGACTCTACTGATTATTGAAGGGGATCTTGAAATTCAGACTAATATTTTCTGGTAAAATTCTTTTTCCTTAATATATGTGACTACAGTCTTGCATGCTATCCTTATTATGGTCCAAGCAACAACACTCAATGTAGCCTTCAACTCCCACAATAAATCACTTCTTACTATCATGATGTCTAACAATGTAAGTGTTAGAAGGATCTAATGCAAATCTGTCATTTTGATGTTTTTAAGAAGTAATAATTTGGCTTTGTAGAAATTTTCTTTTAAATCCAGATTTGCCTAAAATGGGAATTTGTTTTCTTTAAAATGCAGTTTGTGGAAATAAAAGGAAGCGTTTTCAAGAAATTTGAGAAGAACAATTTATTTCAGATGTCAAATAGTGGTATGTATATTTTTGTGTGATAACCATTCGTGCTAGTTTCTATGTGTAAAAGTCTGAAATCTGTGGTATTTAGTGACACTGAGTCATACAGATTCTAGATTGTGGGCTGTGATCTGGTGGGGGTGGTGTGTGGATGGGCACAAGCAACTTAGAGAGGGGTCATAAATGTTTAAATCCATGGGGAGGCAAAGTCAGAAGGCTCTCAAATCTCATTCCTCTAAAGGAAATTTAGGAATTGCGGAATAAGATCTAAGTGGTAGTTAACTTCACACACAGAACTATCTATCAAAACTGCCTATCATTTAGCTAGATATTTATTGGGTTTGCTTGGCCTGCCATGCCAACTGCAAAATCCAAACAACCTATAAACAGCAGCCCAAAATTAAGAACTTGGATTTCTGCAGCCCAAAGGTGGTAGCCCTAATTTTATTCATAGGATTGGAATATGCAACTCCATCTATCATTTTAGGGTCATGAAAGATATCACAAATTTGTGAAAGCCATTGATTCAATATCTGGAAGAAAGTTTGGCCTGACCAGCAGTCTTGATCCCTGCAAATCTTGATTCCTTTTAACCACTTAATTTGCTAAATTTACTGCATGCCTGGAAAGAGGGTGGCAAAATCTGTAAGTTACTTACCTTGATGAGTCACTGCCAGGCTGAACAATAGAAGAAAGAAGGAAGCAAAGAAAATCTTTCTGCAATTTTTTGCCATGAGAAGCTGAAGAAAAAGTTTAGCTCTAAAGAAAAAACAGCTATAGCACAAATGTGCAACAAACGGCCATGGAGAAGCTGGGTTCTAAAGGCAGCCAAACAGGCAGCAAAACATTTTCCAAAGGTTTCCAGGTTTTTTGCTGCCTATCAACTGTCTTTGAAGGAATGTGGGTTTCTGGGGGAGGGTTAAGCAAGGAAAAGGTTTTGGGAAGCTGGTCCTGCAGCTGCTGCCTTTGCATGTAGGCAGCTGACTTCCCCAAAGCTATCAAAAGCCAGGAGAGATTTGAAGTCGCCTGAAGGCAAGTAGTGATCCAGGCCATAAGCATGATTTCATTTGCCAAGCACGGAGGCTTGTTTGGAAGGCTCTCTGGCATTGTAATGTAATCTGGCCGGGCTCTTCCCACTTGCTGGACAGTTTTTGGCTTTGCAAAGTGTTTGCTGCTTGTCTGCCTCCTTTTTAGACTCAGTTCGGCGATAGGCCTCCCAGGGCCTCCCTCACCCATGAGGTACCCCTTGCTTGCTTAACAACCTGTCTGTTTATTTAACAGTGGCATCAGGGAGAGCCGGGGGAGTCATTAAACAAAGCTGTCTCAATGGTGTCATTATGTTCGTAGGTTGAGGATTACCTGTATGAAATTATGAGTGGTTTATTTGCCTTCCTCATGGCTCTTCGATATAGTTGGCTTTTAAGAAACTGGAAACTTCTTAGAGTTAACAGATTACTATCATAATTATTTTAGATATCAAAGAGAGATTCACCAACTATGTGCTATTACTGATAGTTTGCCTAAGAAACATGGAACAATTTTCATGGAACCCAGGTAAAGACTACTTTAGACATAAACATTAAAATGAAATATTCTAAATATGTTCATATATCATCATCATTTTAGCCATTGTCTATCCACTGTAGGATGAAGGCTTCTTCCACATGTTTCCAACCAATACGATTCTGAGCTTTCTTTTGCCAATTAGGTCTGCAATACTTGCTGATGTTCATATATATATTAATTGTCAAACATCTCTTTCTTTGTGGCTGTAATAAATGAGGTTGTTTGCTTTATTTTTTCATTTCAATTTATTTTTCACTTTATTTTTTGTATTGCGATTGGATTTTGAATTCTGACTGGTACATAATTTTAATTCCATCTATTGCAAGTTACTGAAGTGCTTTTAGTGACATGGTAACAAATGACTGTGTTGTATTTTGCTCTGCTCCATACATATTCAGTAGAGCACAATTCATCTCAATATCTTTGGTTATATACAATTTCACCCTTATGCAATTCAGATTTAGGACCCTGATAGTGTCAGGAAATTGGTCCTGATTCACATTTTGCCTGCATGCTGATTAAATATTTGCAGACTTAGCTTTTATAATTATGGATTAAAAATCTGCACAAAGAGTTAACTGCTTAGATTATTTTGCTCCATGTGCTGAATTAATTCTGATACCTTGCTGGAGAGAAATCTGTCGTCATTAGAACTGTTAATGATCACCTCGTAAAATTTTCATGCCACTGTTCTGTTTTGGAAGAAGATTCTCATGTGGCTTGCAGTTACAAAAATGGAATGGATGTGTCTAATCTCTCTGTATCTCTGTATTTTCTCCTTCCTAGATAAAAATCCAAACAATAAATTACCTGGGATGAAAGTAGCACACTCATAGTGCAGCAGCACACTTAAAACTTTTTACAGGATGATTTGAAAACATCTGATCTTTGAAACAAACACCAGTCTCCTGATTCTGATCTCTGCAAAGCAGTCTAACCTTAGGCCTAGCAGCTTAAGAAAAGACCCTTCAACTGTCTTGCATATGATTAATGAGGATGACTATTATGCTCTCTCCTCTAGTCTCACCTTTGAAAAGTTTTAAAACCAGGGTTTGCTCTGGTTTCCACCTCTAGTTTATGATGCTCTTGTAGCAAGGTCTGCTTTGTTTCCCTCTTTGAACACTAAATGCGTGGCACATTTTTATAAGTTTTTATTGCCTTTTTAAATACAATTCAAAAGTACTTTTTCAACAAACGTGTTGTCTGAGTTTATCATTCACTAATACAAATTAAATTCCTAATCTCTTGTTCGTTTCTCCAGCCATTGATAAAATAAGTCCCAAGTTTGAAAATATTCTGTCTCTTCTTTTTCTTTCATCCTCAGAGTAAGTTTGTCCATTTCCGCACATTCTAATTTTTTTTTAATTATTTCTTCCTCTGGTGGTATTTCTTCATTTTTCCAATATTATGCAAATATGATTCTTGCCGCTGTTGTCACATGTAAAATTAAGTATATACTTTGTTTGTCAAGCTTTTCTGGCATTATACCTAATAAAAAAAAGTTCAGGTTTAAAATCTACATGTTTTCCCAACATCCTTTCTAGCCAAGTATGTATTTTTGTCCAATATCTCTTTGCTTTAACACATGTCCACCATACATGATAATAAGTACCTGATTTGTGATTACATTTCCAACATCTATCTGACATATTTTTATTTTTAAACATTTTTGCTAATCTTGCTGGTGGCAAGTGTCATCTATAAAATATTTTATATAAGTTTTCTTTATAAGAGGTTGGCATTGTCAGTGTATAATTTCTTTCCCACAAGCTTTGCCATTTCTCTAAATCTATATTGTATCCAAAATTCTTTGCCCATATGATCATTGTTTCTTTTACTTGTTCATCTTCCATTTTCAAATTCAATAAAAAGTTATACATTTTTTTAATTAGTTTTTCATCAGAGGTTAATAATATCTGATCAAACAAGATCTGCTCTCTGTAAAATCCATACAATTTAACATCTTTATCATATCTCCCTTGCATTTGTAAATATGACCACCATGATAGATCAATACCCTGATTTTCCATCTCTTGTTTAGATTTTAAATTCCCTTCAGAATTTAGAATATCTTTATATGTCCATATTTTCTCAAGACTGACTAAATTAGGATGTACAAATGCTTCCATTGTTGAAAGCCATCCTAGAATTTTCAAGTATATTTTACATTTTATTTTTTCCCATGTTAGTAATAATGCATTTCTAATATAGTGGTTTTGGAAGTATTTATGTATTTTATTTTTTCCATACCATAAAAAAGCATGCCAACCAAGTTGTAGGTCATGTCCCTCCAAGTACAGCAATCTTTTATTTCTAAGAATTATCCATTCTTCTCCCATGTTAATACTGATGCTTGGTAATATAAAACCCACTCTGGTAAGCCAACATCTCCATTTCCCTTAGCTTTTTGTAACATTTTCAATTTAATTCTAGCTTTCTTTTCTTGCCAAATAAATTTTAAAATTAGGGAATTTAAGTCTTCAAAGAATTTTTTTCTCCAGTTTTATAGGTATCATTTGAAATAAAAACAGTATTTTTGGTAATATATTCATTTTCACTGTAGCAATTCTTCCTAATATCGATAGTTGCAGATTTTTCCATTTTTTCAAGTCAAGTTTTATTTGGTTCAGTAATTTTATATAGTTATCTTCTTTTATCGTTGAAAATCTTGCTGTCAAATATATTCCCAAGTATTTAACTTTTTTAACTATTTGTAATTCTATTTTTTCTGACATTTTTTTTGTTTATCTGACATTTTTATTTTGTTTAAGATTTTTAACTATCACTTTGGTTTTTTTCTTTGTTTATCTTCAGTACTGCTATCTCTCCAAACTGTTCTATCTTTTCCAATAATTTAGGAATCATCTCTAAAGTTTCCTCTAAGACAGGGGTGTCAAACTTAATTTCATTGAGGGCCGCATCAGCTTTGCGGTTGCCCTCGGAGGGCCGGGTGGGTGTGGCCAGGGTGGGTGCAGCCTACTGGGTGGGTGTGGATGGAGTGGGTGTGGCCTATTGGATGGGCATGGCCAGCTCTACATCGTTCACATCAAGGGTGCCTGTGGGGGCTTGGGCAGGAGTGGGACAGATCTGAGGGTCTCTGGCAGAAGGGGGTGGGACCAGGGCAAGTGCCAAGGCATGGTCCACTGGAGGAGCCTCACTGTTCCTCTCAGGCCATGCGGGGGGGCTGGATGGTGGTGCTGGCTGCCCGGAGCCCAGCCCCACTTCCCCAAGGGGGCGCCCAGCTACACTTACCTCCTCCTCAAGGCTGCTGCTGCTGTGGTTGCTCTCCTTAGCCAGGTTGCTCATGATGTGTACGAGGGCAAAGTCAGAGGGAGGCCCATTCCCTCTCCATGGGAGGAGACCCGGCTTTGTATCCAAAGCTTCCTTAGCAATAGGATGGGAGACTCCCAGGATAGGCCAGGAAGAGGGGGCAAGGGGATGGTAAAACGGCAGCAGAGCAGGACTAAGGCAGGACTTCCCTCAGACCCTTCCTCCTTCTTTCCTTTCTTACAGAGTGGTGGGAAAATATTTGAGATGAGGGAGGGAGAAAAACAGGCAAGAAATGCAGCTGGGGAGGTGTCAGGGGAATGTGAAGAATGAAGAAATTCACCATCGCCTGGAAGTGGCCAGCACATGGCCCTCATCTACATCACATATCTGGCTTGATGGACTCTGGGGAGGGGATGCCATGAGCAGTGTGAGAGTCAACGTTACCTGCGCAATGCCGCCCAGTCCCCAGCCTGCCTGGTTTCGGCAGGCAGCGGGGCGCTCTCCTGACAGCGTCGAGAGGTTGAGCTTTGCACCTTGCTGCCTGCTGAAACTGGGCAGGCTGGGGGCTAGGCAGCATTGCACTTCTCATCAGTTTCACATCACCCGGCTCAGCATCTCAGCGCTGTGAGGAGAGTGCCCCGCTGCCTGCCGAAACCCCTCCCCCAGAGCCCATCAAGCCGGATATGTGAAGTAGGCGAGGGCCATTTTCTGGCCACTTCCAGGCGATGGTGCATTTCTTCATTCCTCACGAAGGGTGACACCTCCCCAGCATGCACCCAGGGGGCGGGGCCGATGCGGCAGGGGCTGGTTCCTCGCTGTTTCCAGACAGCCCTGTGGAGCTGAGACTGAATGCGTTTCAGCATAGATGGCCACCACAAACTGTACATTGGCTCCCAGCTGGCCTGGGCCAGGGCCAAGGCAGCAGGGGCCATTCCCTCACTGTTTTCAGAATGGCTTTGCGGGCCACATGAAACCACTTCGCGGGCTGCATCCGGCCCCCGAGCCTTGTGTTTGACATGTCTGCTCTAAGATAAATACCAAGTCATCTGCAAACGCTTGCAATTTATAAGTTTTACCTTTTATTTCCAGTCCTTTAATTTCTAGATCTTGTCTAATATTTCTATTTAAAACTTCCAAAGTTAAAATAAATAACAGTGGAGATAGTGGACATCCTTGTCTTGTGCCTTTTCTTATGTCGAAATTCTCTGTATAGTCTCCATTTACAATAATTTGCTGTTTGTTTATGGTATATTGTTTTAGGCATATTTATAAAAATTTGTCCAAAGTCCATTGTTTTTAGTTGTTGAATGATAAATTGCCAGGAAACATTATCAAATGCCTTTTGGCCGTCTAGAAATACTAGTGCCAATTGTTTCCCTGGATGCATTTCATAATATTCCAATATGTCCATTAAAATCTTATTTTTTATTTGTCTCTTTGGTAGAAATCCATTTTGATCTGGATGTATAAATTCAGTCAGAAATCTTTTCAGTCTTAGCTATTATTGAAGTAAAGATTTTATAGTCCACATTTAGTAATGATATCGATCTGTAATTTTTTATCTGGGTGAAATCTGAGTCCTCTTGGTATCAAAGTAATATTTGCTTCTGTCCATGTGTTTGGGAGTTTAGCCTCCAATAAAAGTTCATTACACACATCTTTATACGGTGCACTTAGTGTATCTTGTAGACATTTATACAACTCTGCCGAGAGCCCATCTGGTCTTTTTTCATTTTTTTGTCTTTTTATTGCTTCTATCAGTTCCATCATTGTTATTTTCTCATTTAACATGATTTTAAAGTTTTCTGGAATTTTTTGGTAAGTTATTTTTTCCATATATTTTTAAATTGTAAACAGCCCTTTTCATTTACTAAATTGTTTATCAATTTTTTCTCCTTCTGTTTTTTAAGTTTATAAGCTAACCATTTTCCTGGTTTATTTGCATTTTCAAAAAAAAATTTGCTTTGACCTTTTGATTTGCCATGCCAATTTTTCTGATTCTATTAAATTTAATTTATGTTTTATTATTTCCATTTGTCTTTTCAATATTTTCTTTTGTGGGTTTATTTGTAGTTCTAATTCTAATTTTTTAAATTTTTCTCTTAACAACTGACATTGTTGTCTCTTTTCTTTGTTTTTTTCGCCTCGAAAATATGCTTTGGCTGTATCCCGTACATTTTGTAATGTTGTATCTTCTTTTTTATTTTCTTTGAAGAAAATATCTATTTTTTGTTACTAATATAAATTTAAGAAAATAAATAAATAAATAAATAAATTCTATAAATTCTTTCTTTTTTTAAATATAGATTGGTTCAAAGTCTATCTTAATTTTTTTTGCATTCCTTTCCACATCATTTTTAAAGGATTATGATCTGCCCAAGTGCCTAATTCTATCTCAATCTCCTGCATATTAGTTCTTAATTCAGGAGTCATCCAAATCATGTCAATTCTGGACCAAGATTTATGACTGTTCAAATAAAATGTATATTGTAGTTTTCCTGGATTCGTTTCTCTCCAAGTATCTTGTACACCAATTTCCTCTATCATGTTAAAAAAACGTCTTAGGTAATCTTTTTCTTCCTTGTTTTCCTAATTTTATAATCTAATATCCCATCTACTATTGAATTAAAATCCCCTACTAGAAAAATGTTTTGATATTCCATTTCTGCTATTTTTCTATGACGATTTTGATAAAATTCTTCTTGTTTATTGTTTGGTGCATATATTACTACCAAAAGTATCTGTTATTGATTTAAAAACATTTCTACCATCACAATTCTTCCTTCTTCACCTGAATAAATCATTTTAGAATCTATTGTCTCTTTGACATATACAGCTATTCCTCTTTTTTTGTTGTACTGATGCATAGTAGAGTTTTCCAATTTTATAGCATTGTTTTTTATATGTGTCTCTTGCACACAAATTATATCAATATTTAATTTCTGCAATTTTTTTAAAGATTCTTTTCCTTTTTGATTGAGAATTCAATCCATTTATATTCACTGAAAAAAAATCCATTTTCCTTCTCCATTTTATTTACTTATATTTAGGTCTTGTCGATCTCATAATCCTCTGCTCTCTTGCCATTCCCTCCCCCTCTTGATCTGACTTGTCTTTTTCTTCTATTTGTGTAGTTATTTCCTCTGTTGTTTGTTCTATCTGTTTCTGGCCTTTTCTATCCTCTTGTTGGTGTTGTACTCTTTCATCCAGAACTGCTCTGTTTCTTTCGTCGAAGTCTTCTGCCTTCCAAACTGAATCCAATCGATATCTTGTATTGTTCCAGTTGATTAAGATCCTTTCTGGCATTAACATCTAAAGTTTACACCTTTTGCAATTAACTTTGTGGTCAGAAAATGATATTGTTTTTGGGTGTTCCTTATTCTCTTAAGAATCTGCTTCAACACCACAATTTCTTTATTTTTGTAATGGGTCATCTCTAACTCTTCTCAGTATTTCATCTCTTATTGTCTTCTTTACAAATCTTACATGAACTTCTCTAGGCAGTTTATGTTTCCTCGCATAGGTTGAATTCATTCTAAATATTTTGTCAATCTCCTGTTGTATCTCCGCTCTGTCTATTTTTAGAGCCTCTGCCAGTAGATTAATAATCACTTCTGCTATATCTTCCTTCTTATCTTCAGATATATTTTGGAATCTTAGATAGTGTACAGCTTTCTCCATTTCCAAGGCTGTAATTGCTCCTTCTAAGCTTTGATTTGCTTGTTCTAGCCTTTCATTTTCTTCCATTATTGCCTCCATTTTTTCATCAGTTTCTTCTGATTTATCTTTCATTTTCTGAATTTTTGTTCATTTTTAGCGATCATTTTTTGATGGCATCAAATTGTGTTTTTATATCTAGCATTTGCTCATTTAGCTTATCTGTTTTTTGTCTCTTCATGCTTTTTCTGCATTGTTTCTTGAATTAACTATAGTCTGGCTTGCATCTCTTTTTGAAAGCTGTTTGTCTTTTCTCGTTGTAACATTGTTTCAATAGATCCCTGACTTGCTGGACTATATGTTCCAGAAGAAGGTGCAGAAGAGGTTTTTTTCGTGATTTTCGTGAGATTTGGTGCACTCATTTTTCAGGTTTTGTAAATCCACAAAGAGAAAAGGAAAAAGAAAAAGAAGCCAACCTTAGCCTTAGGTTATAATCCAACCATGAAAAAAGCCAACTGCTTTAGGCTAATCCAAATGTTCTCATTAGTTCAAAAATATAAAAAGCCCTCTATTTCTAAAATAGTTTCTATTATAGTTATATCCAGGGTCAAAAAATATGATTGTAAAAAGTCTTTTCTAGTATAAAGTCACACAATTCTTTTTGTTTACAACAGGTGTTAGTCCAAGGTCCGTAACTTCTCCAATTCTTTTTGTATTGTTATAGTATTTCCTCTCACCACTAGATGTTCTTATTAACTGTAATGTCTATATCCAAGTTTAAAAAAGTTTTTTAAAAAAAATTCACAAAAAATAAATATTTTTCCCCCCACATCATAAAGGTTAGCAAAATTTTCTTTAAATCAGTCCCAGTTTCATTTTTGTATATTCTTTTGTATTTCTTAATTTCGTTCCCCCATTTAATTTTTTTGCTGCTTTTAACTCCTTTCTTCCCAAGTCTTCCTGGGGTCTTTGCTTTGGAAATTATCCAATCTGGGGATTTATATTTCTAAGACCACAGGGAAGAGAAATTAAAAAAACAGTCTCACCCAGATCTCAGCACATTGTTGACAATCAGCTGTGTGGGGGCATGCCATGGCATGCCGCAGTTCTTCGCTTCTTTCCCGGTTGTCTATGACTTGGGCTGCCTGTGCACTTACCGGTAGCCTTTCTCCCATCCGTTTGAAGAGGTTCCTTGGTTCGTTTGGGCCGACTGCTGTCGGCTCCAAGCTCCCAAGGCTTCCCTTCCTCTTCGTCGCCTCTCCAGGGCAACTTTCCAACCCCTTGGGGTCTCCAGACGGAGCAAAATTGGACTAGGAAACCGGAGCCCCGATTTCTTTCGCCCATCTCGTCATGACACCAAACCGGAAATCCGGAAATGTGTGGCACATTTTGTTACAAGGACAACATTGCTACTTTAGAGGAGAGAAGATTTGCAGAGCCTATTTTGTATTTAATTGATAAAATCAATTGTTCTTTTGATCTTATGATACTATCGTTATAAAACTCCAAAAGCCCAAGGTCTTCCCAAGCCCTGGGAAGAGAAGATTGACCACTTGTAATGACTCTGTACTGAAAGAGGAGTGCTTTACCTGCAGAATTTCTTTTCTGAGAATTTAAAATATAATGTGAAGGATTTTATTTTGCATATATTGAGGGGAATGCAAAATAAGACATTCCATTTATGTTTAGGTCATTTCTTTTGGTTCCATACCCAGTTTATTCCTGTGAATTCCTTCCTTCTTTTACAGATCATCTGTGGGTATTGTTCCCTGATGTCTGTATGGTGATTGCATCAGAGGTTGCTGTTGATATTGTGAAACATGCTTTCATAACCAAATTCAATGACATCACAGCTGATGTAAGTATATAATTAAACGTCTATGGAGATTCTCAGTCATCCAGGTCATAGTTGTCCCAAAGATGCTTTTTCATGAGGCAACTGGATTTTCTTGTTTTTCTTTTTCTTTGAAGATATTTCGCTTCTCATCCAAGAAGCTTCTTCAGCTCTATAATTAAACATTTCCAAATGATTGGACCAAATCTGCTCTAGGTTTTGTAGATGAAATGAGGGAAACATTTCCTTCCCTTTCTCACCTGTGCATGGATCACTCCCATTGATTAAAAATAGCTAAATATACCATATTTCTTTTTTAAATGGAATTAGACCTTACAAAATTAATTAATTATTATAATTATACTTAGATTGGGGCTATTCCTAAAGGCAGGCTTCCTATGTTGAGTTCTTCCCACCATCTTTGTACTATAGAGCAGTGTTTTCAAGAGCTGGGAAAATCTTGGAGCTGAAGTTGCCAAGGTTGAGAAACACTAGCATATTAAAACTTAAAAAACTAACTTGTAAACTTTTTGATAGCTTAGGTTGGGGATATAAAAAGACAATGGTGATTATGTCACAGCATGGAAAAATAATCCAAGCTGATTATGGGGGAGAGAGTACAACAACTGCTTGTTCCTTCTGTTCAGATTTACAGCTAAGCTGTAACTTTTTTTGTCACCTCTTCTAATGATGGCAGCCTCACTAAGCACACTTGCTTACTGGAACAATTAGTAGCTTCATTCACTTATCTCTTGGTTCTGTCCTTGAGCAAGATTTTAACAGAGAACTCTATCTACATAATATTAACATTTCTGTAATCTTGCATAATGAGGCCATTGCCTGATTTTTATATATAATACAGGCAGTCCTAAGAAAACAGGTCACCACATAACACCAATTTTATGACCTTTTTTGCAGTCATTATGTGATGGTGCAAATGGCCATAATTGCTAACCCAAGATACAATCATGCAACACGGGGTGGGGGTTGGGGGAGGATGTTGGAACTTTGAATCTGGATCATAAGTAGCCCTCGGGAATTCTGTTGCAACTTTGAACAGTCACCTGACTTGTAAGTTGAGGACTACTGTACTTTTTTTTAATTGATGGTCCTTTATCCTTTTTAAAAATACATGTCTATTGTTACAATATTGAAGTATAAAGGAAATAGGAAAAGGAAATGTTGAAGCACAAAAATGAAAAAGCAAGATGGCACTGTATTTTAATTTATAAAAGCCTAGTGAAAATGAGAAAAAAAATTAATTATCCACCTCTTCCTTTTTATTTTTATCCCCAAGCTTGAACCACAGTTTAGACAATAATTGTTGGTTTCTATTTGAGTCCTAAAAACATATGTCTAAATTTGCCTTGCTATGTAATGTATATAAGGAAAAGATTTCTGCTTGAATTTAGTTTAATTTCCATGATGGGTGTATATTGTCAATTTTGGCATTGCAGTTTATTGTCCCATTTTAGTTTCCTTGTGTAATAATGTACTCAATGTATCTCTTTTCTGGTGTTGTGCTAGGTTTATTCTTGCTGCAATAAATGTGTATTGTAATATTTACTAAATCCTTAGTTTTGGCCTTTATTATAGATAGGTCATAATAAAGGCCAAAACTAAGGATTCAGTAAATATTACAGGGGACTTCCGGTGGCAGGCGACTTCGCTGGACGCAGCTGTTTGCTGCTTCCGCCTGTTTCTGCGTAAAAGCCGTTTTGACACCCTGCATCAGCTGTCAAACGGCTTGATACCTTTCCCCTGGGCATAGGGGGATAGGTGAGCTACCCGAGGTAGGAGTTGAGTTCCCGAGTCGTCCCTTGTGGACGATGTAGGTGAGAACTCCTCCGGAGCCCCGGGCTTCTCCGTGATCCAGGACGCCTTCGCCGTAGCGAAGCTAGAAGCCGCCGCCACCGCTGCAACTTAAAGTTAACTGTGAGTTTGCCTTGTAAGCAGACGAACCGACCCTGGAAGTTTGCTTTTTACTTTTGGACTATACTCTAACTTGGATAATACGTTCTTCCCTATATCTGAGGTGGATTGAGGGAAAGTGAACTTAAAATGGCGANACCATAGACTTGAGCTTGTAGAGGAGAGTCTGGAAAATGTCAAGAGTGATGTGCTGATTGCTCAATTCCGTGATATGGAGTTTGCAATTCGGATTCGTGGATTGGCTGAGGATCCAAAGGAGAATTTAAGACAAGTAATTGCAGATGCACTTGGGGATGCCTTGTCTTGTGGTCAGGAAATTTATCTGGAAATAGAGCGCGTTTTTAGGGTGAATTCCTGGTTTGCAAGACAAAAAAATTTACCTAGAGATATAGTGATCTACTTTACAAGAAAGTCGAGACGTAATGAAATAATGCAGCTCTTTTACCAACAGAGATTCAAGATTTTAAATCAAGATATTATTCTTTTAAAAGAAATTCCAGCGAAAATACTTAGAGCGTGCAGAGACTATGCTTTTCTGGCACAGGAGCTGAAGAACAGACAAATAAATTTTAGATGGGACATACCGGTGGGCATAATTGTAACATTAGCTGGCAAACACTACAGACTCAACTCGATCAACAAAGCTAAGGACTTTATGGCGTCTGTTTTACAATCAGAACGCCCACCTACACCCCAGAGGATTGATGTGGCTGAGCAGATGATTGTGGATTTTCCTTCTGTTTCTGTTCAGGACTTAGAGGAAAGCCCAAAAGCTGATGGGAAGGAACAAAGAATCACGCGCGCAGCTCATAGACGTAAGGAAAAGGAAAGACAGATGACAGCCCGCCCGGCAGCTGATAGCCCTGCAGCTGATTGTCAAGTACCAGCTATTTCACAGCCAGTAGGTGGCGCTCGACCTAAGGTCTTTGTGAAATCATATGCAGCCAGTATTGTCAGTGGAATAAAACCTTCTAATGTGTAAGCTTATATCTTGGAATGTGAGTGGACTCAATGTTCCCCACAAAAGACGTAAGATTTTTCATTACTTAAGACATTTTAATAATGATATTACATGCTTACAAGAGACTCATATTGTGGTTAAAGATCAAAAACTTTTATTGAACTCCAAGCTTGGAGACCTGTTTGTTGCATCTGCCTTAAAAAAGAGAGCTGGGGTTGCAATGTACATCAAAAGACATCTCTCACCTATTTTAAAAGAAGCTGATAAAGAAGGAAGATATTTATTTGTGGAAATAAATTTAAATGGAAGAAAGTGTTTAATAATAGGGGTTTATGCCCCCAATCAACTTGCAGCTCAAAAGCAAT